ATCAAATCTAATAAGGGTGATTTAAACATTTTTTAAAATTCAATAGTTAAAATTGGAATGGTGATTACACAGGTACACATGTACATGCATTTTTTAAAACTTACTAAATTCATACCGGGCACAGTAGCTCATGCCTGTAATCACAGCATTTTGGGAGGCCAAGGCGAGGGGATCACTTGAGGTCAGGAGTTTGAGACCAGCCTGGACAACACAGCAAAACACCATCTCTACTAAAAATACAAAAAAATAGCTGGGCATGGTGGTGCATGTCTATAATCCCAGCTACTTGGGAGGCTGAGGTAGGAGAATGTCTTGAACCCGGGAGGCGGAGGTTGCAGTGAGCAGAGATAGTGCCACTGCACCTCAGCCTGGGCGACAGAGTGAGATTTTGTCTCAAGCAAAAAAAAAAGAAAAGTCTCAATATTTAAAATTGAGATGGTGACTACACAGCTACATACATGTTAAAACTTCCTAAATTGTATACTTATAATGGGTGCATTTCACTGTATATAATTTAGACCTCAATAAGGTCGATTTAAAAAGTAAAAATAGATAACAAAACAGTCACATTTCTGCTTTGACTGTGTAATTCCACTTGCAAGAATTAAGCTTATGAAAATAATCACAGCTGATGATAATGATTTAAATACGAGAAACTTCAATACAGTATAATACTGGAAAAATATATATCATTGTCTCCATAAAGAATTGGTTCACTTAGGCCAGGTGCAGTGGCTCATGCCTGTAATCCCAGCACTTTGGGAGGTTGAGATGGGCAGATCACCGGAGGTCAGGAGATCAAGAGCAGCTTGGTCAACACGGCAAAACCATGTCTCTACCAAAAATACAAAAATTAGCCAGGCATGGTGGTGCTTGCCTGCAATCCCAGCTACTCAGGAGGCTGAAGCAAAAGAATCCCTTGAACCCAGGGGGTGGAGATTGCAACGAGCCGAGATCACTCCACTGCACTCCAGCCTAGGCGACGAGAGTGAAACTCCATCTCAAAAAAAAAAAAAAAGAATTGTTTCATTTAATAATATATTAACCATTAAAGACTTAATTATTAATGATTGATGTGTATTATTAAGATGAAAAAAAAGTCTTGTAACAGTGCTTAAATGAGAAAAGCAGGATATAAAACTAGAATTTTCAGTTGTTTGTATATACTTCAAAACCTATCAGTGTATTTACAATGGTTATCTCTAGAGGTTAAAATTACAGAATTTTTTACATTTTTTTTATAACGCACAACATTTAATTACATCATTAGAAAAGCACAGAAAATCAAATATTGCATGTTCTTACTTATAAGTGGGAGCTAAATCTTGGTTTCACATGGACATAAGGAAGGGAACCATAAACACTGGGGACTCCAAAGGGAAGGAGGGAGGGAGAGAGGCAGGGGGACAAGGGCTGAAAAACTTCCTATTGGACACTGTTCACTATGTGGGTGACAGTGTCAAGAGAAGCCCAAATATCAGCATCACACAATATATGCTTATAACAAACCTGCACATGCACCCACTGAATCTAAAAGTAAAATATAAACGATAGATAGATAGAAAGAAGAAGAAAAAAAAGAATCCTAGACAAAACCATACACAGGCCTTTTATCTTTTTCTTTTTTTTTTTTTTCCAGAGGGAGTCTCGCACTGTTGCCCAGGCTGGAGTGCAGTGGCATGATCTTGGCTCACTGCAACCTCTATCTCCCAGGTTCAAAGAATTCTCCTGCCTCAACCTCCTGAGTAGCTGGGATTACAAGCACCTGCCACCACACCTGGCCTGATTTTTGTATTTTCAGTAGAGACGGGGGTTTCACCATATTGATCAGGCTGGTCTTGAACTCCTGACCTCAGGTGATCCACCTGCCTCAGACTCCCAAACTGCTGGGATTACAGGCATGAGCCACCGCACCCAGCCCAAGGACAGGATTTTTAAACCGTACATATTCATTTGCTGTTAAATAGTGATCCTACTGTCTGTAGGAGGTTGGGAAGTCTGAGCTCAGGAAGGAGGAACATGGCAAACTCATGCCATTTGTGGGTCTGATATTGGGTAACACTCCAGCATGCTGGCCCCCTCAGTTTTCTCCCTTCCTCGGTCTGAACCAAGCTCCCCAGACCGGCATGGTGGCCTACGCCTGTCATCCCAGTACTTTGGGAGGCAAAGATGAGAGGATTGCTTGAAACCAGGAGTTCAAGACCAGCTTGGACAACAAAGTGAGATGCTGTCTCTATAAAAATTAATTTTAAAAAATTAGCCAGGCATGGTAGCATGTGCCTGCACTCCTAGCTACTCAGGAGGCTGAAGTAGGAGGATGACTTGAGCCCAGGAGCTGAAGACTGCAGAGAGCTATGATGGCATCACTATACTCCAATCTGCATCACAGAGTGAGACTCTCTCTCTTGAGAGAGAGAGAGAGAGAGAGAGAGAGAGAGAGAGAGAGGAGAAAGAGAAAAGGAAGGAAGGGAGGGAGGGAGGGAGGGTGGGAGGAAGGTAGGAAAAGAAAAAAGAGAAAAAAGGAAGAGAGAGAGTGGAAGGAAGGCAGGGAGGGAGGGAAGGAAAAAAGAAAGAGAAAAGAAAAAAAGTGGGAGGAAGGAAGGAAGGGAGGGAGGGGGAAGGGGGAGAGAGGAAGAAAGAGAGAAAGAAAGAGAAAAAGACAAAGAAAGAAAGGAGAGAGAAAAAGAGAAAGAAGAGAAGAGAAAAGGAAAGACCAGACTCCTTAACAAAACCTTATGTGGTGTGTCTGCAACCAATTCTCCAGCCTTTCCTCCCCAGCCAGGCAGGCTTTTTATTAATTCATTGAACAGAGGCCTCTCGGCCCCACCTCCTTCCCTGGTTGGCATTTCAGTTCCCAGGTCCTGGAATCCACTTTCCCATCTTCCCAAGCCCTTCATTGACACTGAATCCTTCAAAATTCAACTAGGTGGTTGGTTACCCCTCCAGGGAAGCCATTACATTTTCCTGCTGTAACTGTCATAGCTCCTTGTAAGTGTCCTTTCTAACATGTTTCTGTTCCAATTATGTGCCTGTGTGATTATTTCATTAACATCCATTTCTACATCTAGACCATAAGCTCCTGGAGAGCAGCCCCAGAATCTGGGTTTGTACTCATCACTCAACAGGCATTCCATGCATTCCTAGTCTGGTCTTTGGACATTCAATAAATATTCGTTGAACGAATGTTTCCCCATCTGTGAAATAAGAAGAGCTCACCTAGATTTCAAGCCATAATATTTAAAGCCTGGATTCTGGGATCCTCCACTCCTCCCTCCAAAGCTGGTTACCCAAAAAATCCCAGGAAATTCCAGATTGTATCTCCCTCATTAACATATTACAAACCTGATTATCTTTCAATTCCCCGAGGCTTACTGGGAGCTCCCAGGCCCTGGGGATTTGACAGCAGGAGAGAGATGGAAATCCTGATGAGTCACTGAGGCTAATTACTAATTTGGGAGTTTTTTCAAACTACTGCACCCTTTCCCATTGCTGTGGTAACTGGATGGGAATTCATCTAGCAAGAGAAAATGTACGTAAAGATTACCTCCCTCCCTCCTCTAGGTTTCTGCAGGTGAAAAGATGTAATGATAGAATAACGAACATTTCCTATGGGGCTGGCACTGTGTTCTACATAGAACTCATTTAATACAACAACCCTGTAACAAAAGAGGTACCATTATGGTTCTATGTTAAAGTTACGGCCCAGAGGGATTTAGTAACTTGCTCAAGGTCACAAAACTCCAGAGACCCTGCTCTTAACCACTGTAATATACTGTCTCTTTTTTAACAAGCAAATGTCACCAAAAAGAGACATTTAGTGACAACCATTTGACCCACTGACTGCTGCAGAACAGTGCTTCACTAATGGAGGCAAGAGAGAAGGTGGTGGGGGTTGGCATCTCACGGGTCACATGGCAAACACTGCTTTCTCAGGCTGAAACTCAAGAGCGGTGATGCTTGTGGAATGAACACTGACAGGTTCCCCCCTCCCCCAAGAACAACAATCACTGGTCTGTAGGGAGCTTCAGCTCTCTGCGCAGAGCTGTGGGCTTCTTTTTTCCTTTTTCTTTCCTTTTCGTTTTTTTTTTTTTTTAAAGCAGGAAGCAAGCCATGTGCATCAATTACCAGGAACTCTTTAATCCAACTGGGACCCCAAACAAACACCCTGCTTTAACCGGGTGAAGTGATACAAACAATTTACGAAGCCTCATAACCCTGCAGCATCCCAAGTAAGTAGACCGTGATCTTGCGGACAATAAAATGCAAGCCCGTGCTAATACATTGTAGGGGAGTGCATGTGCCTTACACAGAAGGATGCTAGCTCCAAAATAGCAAACTCACTGCCTTTGCTGGGCACTCGGCACGGTACCTGGCCTGCAGGTTCTTAGATTCCATTGGGTTTAGAATAAAATCCAAACTCTTTACCGTTGCCTGCTAGGTCTTACATGATCTGGCGAACCTCAGCCGCCTCCTAAGCTCCAACGACACTGGTTTTCTTTCCGCGTCTCCGTACTCAGCTCTTTTGGGTCTGTGGCAATTGTACTTGCTGTGCCTCCTGCCTGGATCAGTCCTAGATCTTGCACTGAACGCATCCTTCTCATCACTCAGCTCTCAACGCAAGCATCTCCTCCTGCCTCTGAGGCCTTGGCCTTCAAAGTCCCATTCCCTACTGGAAGCTCTAGAGCTGGCGTTACAACACTGTCTGGCCCGCGAGCCTTCAACGCTTCGACAAATGCTTGTTGAATGCAAAAACGCTGATCCCACTTCAGTCTGCCAGCTCACCCCACGCCCTCTCAAAACACCTAGGGGAATTCATTTCTGAAGAGAACAGAAGCAAGCGACAGCGTAACGCACCCACGCAAAACAAAGCCGGTAATCCGGGGCTGAACTGGTCAATGCCATCTAAAGAAGGCCCCAAGAAAAGCCCTTCCGGATAGTGCACACGCTTTTCAAGGGGCGAAACCAGGGGGCCAGACGGCCGGCGGCGCAGCGCTGCCTACCTTGAACTCCGCGGAAAGTTGGGGTGTGTATTCGCGAGTCCAGAGCGCGCGCACCAGCGCCGCCAGCTGCTCGGTGACCTCGGCGCGGCCCGGCGCCGCCCGGTAGCGCCCCAGCGCCAGGAACTCGGCCAGCAGGTCGGTGTTGCTGAGACACTGCACCACGGCGTTCATGAAACAGGTGTTGCCGTGGTTCTTCAAGCCCTGGGCGCCCGGCGGCCGCGCCCCATCGCCGGCAGGGAGCTGGAGCTGGGGGTGCGGTCCCGGCGGGCGCTCCTCCCCGGGGCTCCCGGGGGCCGCTGGGGCCCGGCCCGCGGCGCAGGCAAAGCCCCCCTCACCGTCGCCGTCGCAGGGTCCCGGCTGGGGCCGGGGCGGCGAGTCCCCGGGGCGGGAGCGGCTGCCCAGCGCCAGCAGGAAGCGGCTGAACAGGCGGCGCAGGGAGCGGCGGCGGCGGGGCCGGGGCGCGGGCGGTCCCCCTCCTGCCGCGTCCTCGGGGCCCGGGTCCATGGCTGCCGCCGGCGCAGCTCCAGACGCGGAGCCCCCGGGCCCGAGGCGGACGAGCGGCCAGCAGGCCCTGCGGCTTCGCTAGGCGCCCGGCGCCGGCTACCTGCGGACCAGGTGTGCGGGGACGGGGCGGAGGCGGAGCCAAGGGCGGGGCCGCCCCGCCCCGCGCGGGAATCCGGCCGCACGACCGGCCCCCTGCAGGGCCGCGCCGGGCCACCCCTACCCCTGCCTGGTGCCGCCCCCCGCGGCGCTGACTGGGAGTCGTCGCGGTCGGGTTCCCCATCCCTCCTTACCTCGTATACCGACAGGCCGGGGTTTCGCCTCTGCTCCTGTTCCTCGAGCAGCCTTCAGGCAGTGGAAACGATGGAGGAATGGGCATTCTGAAGGCGCCTGGTAAATCGCAAAGGCCTGGCTACTGCTGAAAGGCAGGCATCTCCAGAGCACAGCCTCGGGCGTGGTGAGAGGCGCGCGCTGGGTGCTGTGTGGGGGCGGGGAGCGCTTTCATGCACCGCTTGTTCCTCCGCAGGCTCAGGTGTGTGCGGACAGGTGTCGCCACCTCCTTCCAGACAGTCTGCCCCTTGGGGGAGGCAGAGCCTCTGCCTGCACCCGCCCACCCGGGACCTTCACTGGGAGCCACGTGTTGCCCTGTGGGGGGAAAAAACCACCCGAGTGGTTGTGGTTTGCTTTTTTACACTACAGATTGGGTTAGAATGGTTTTCCAAAAGCTTGCGAGGCTTGATCATCCTTGCTTTAGTCGGCAAGGAAGTGGGCTCAAAGAGGTTATCGCAACATAGGAGGTGCGCCCGACCCGTAAGCGGAGAAACCGGAACTCGACCTGGATCTCTGGACTGCCAACTTCAGGCCCTTTCCAGCCTCAGTATTTGCTTACCAGAAGTTTTCAGGCTCTCAGGTGCGCCCCCTACGCGGTTTCTGGTTCACTCCCTAACGCAAAATCCTCGCGGAATGATTGCCCAATCAGAATTAGTGTGGCCTTGCCCCGCCCTTGATTCCCTGAGTAACCCTGGGAGCCCCCCTTCACATTATCCCTTGCAACTGTCCCGTTTATAATTAATCAGGCAAGGTCTTGCAAAATGAGTTTCTCGTCCATTTCTAGCTCAGAAAGAGATCAGCACCATGTGAGATGCAGCATTCTAACAACGCCCTGAAATGTTGCTTGTTAATAAGTGATCATCATTTATTAAATATTCTTGATCCTGGCCGGGTGAGGTGGCTCACAGCTGTAATCCCAGCATTTTGGGAGCCTTAGGAGGCTGAATCACCTGAGGTCAGGAGTTCGAGACCAGCCTGGACAACATGGTGAAACCCCATCTCGGCTAACGATACAAAATTAGCCAGGCGTGGTGGTGCATGCCTGTAAAGCCAGCTACTCAGGAGGCTGAGGCAGGAGAATCACTTGATCACTTGATTCAGTGAGCCGAGATTGCGCCATTGCACTCCAGTCTGGGTGACAAGAGCCAAACTCCAACTCAAAAAAATAAAAATTTTTTTGATCTTTCAAACGGTTGCAGCGGTTACCTCTTGCAAAAAAAAGCCCCATTACTTAAAGGACAAATAACATGCAGCAGTTACTTCATGCAAAAGAGCAGCATTACTTAAAAGATAAATAAAACCTCAGACTGTACTGTGAATTGGAGACTTGTGTTCTGGAAAATGCCATTATTTACCCCTCTCTGGAAGAAGATACCCGGTTGGGTGATTAACACACAGGTCCATTTGATCACCCTTCTGGTGGAAAGCACAGAAGAAAGTTGTAGTGGCCAACTTCAAGAGAGCATCTCGTAAAATTTCATCTTTCTTTGGTAATTGCCCTGAGTTCCCCAACACGACACGTTTTCTTTGAGAAAGCATGCATATTTCACTCTCTGTCAGGAATTCTGCCGATGCTGTAGTACATTAGACACTTAATTCTCACAATAAGCTTTAAAGCAGGAGTTTATTCTTGCTTGACAAAAGAGAAAATTGCGGCTCAGAGAATTTTTTTTTTTTTTTTTTTTTTTTTTTTTTTAAGATGGAGTCTTGCTCTGTTGCCAGGCTGGAGTGCAGTGGTTGGATCTCAGCTCACTGCAACCTCTGCCTCCCAGGTTCAAGCAATTCTCCCACCTCAGTCTCCCAAGTAGCTGGGATTACAGGCAGCCAACACCACACCTGGCTAAATTTTTTTGTATTTTAGTAGAGACAGGGTTTCACCATGTTGGCCAGTATGGTCTCAATCTCCTGACCTTGTGATTCACCTGCCTGGGCCTCCCAAAGTGCTGGGATTACAAGCATGAGCCACCGTGCCCAACCAGCTCAGAGAATTTTTTTAAAAGCCTACCCAAGATCTGGATTTAAGTCTGAGTCTAGTCCCATACAGCTTAACCAATGAAATGACAATTAAGAAGGAAATTCACTTCACCTTATTTTTAGAGGATAATAGCAATGCTGTCTGTGCACAGATCATGAGGAAGGTCTGTGGGTTTTGCAGAGTTACAGAAAACAGATGATAACAGAAAACCAACAACTGAGAATTTATTCAAAATGTAAAAAGTACTAATTAGAGTCTGCACAAGTTATTTCTGAACATATTTCAATTTTAAGGTACAATTTAAGAATATAAGATGCATTCTATAAGGAAAAAGAAAAAGAAAAAAATATGACTCAAGAACAAAAACAGAGAAGTGAGAAATCAAGACTAGTGTTGGAGTTATCTAAACTCGGTCTTCAACAGGATTGTGTGCAATGCCAAGGCTCAGAGTCACCTCACCAGCTTCAGGAGGTGTACGGGTACTTCCATCGCAAAATGGCTCCGTCAGCACTTACACTAACAATATATTGATTTCCTGGACTTATTCGGATGCGTGTGATGTTGCCACTGTGTCCCACCCCGACGTGAGTCACTTCACCCTCATTATAATCCCAAACTTTGACTAGATGGTCACTTCCACCTGAAAAAGATAAACACTTATATGGCATTGCTGCAATAGAAGAGAGAGAAACGGCCCTTATTTCAAATAACTGAATCATTTTCAAAACGGTCCCCATGTATCTATCTTTATAATAACACTTTTTTTTTTTTTTTTTTTTTGAGGAGACAGAGTTTCACTCTTGTTGCCCGGGCTGGAGTACAGTGGCACCATTTCGGCTCACTACAGCCTCTGCCTCCTGGGCTCAAGTGATTCTCTCGCCTCAGCCTCCCGAGTAGCTGGGATTATGGGCAAGCACCACCAAGCCAGGCTAATTTTTGTATTTTTAGTAGAGACGGGGTTTGTCCATGTTGGTCAGGATGGTCTCAAACTCACAACCTCAGGTGATCTGTCTATCTTGGCCTCCCAAAGAGCTGGGATTACAGGCATGAGCCACTGTGCCTGGCTGCATTTATTTGTTAATATCCAGATGAATCAAAGAGCTTGGCAGAAAATGATAATGATATTCCAATCGGCATGTTGTGTAGTAAATGCACCCTTTGAAATCCAATTTTTTTTTTTTTTTGGTGGGAAGGACATCACATCATGCAATAATAAAGTGGAATTAAAAGACTGGCATTTAAGACTTCAGAAGGATGCTGGACAGCCCAGGCCATTTAAAGTCCCACTTTCGGCAGGGTGCAGTGGTTCATGCTTGTAATCCCAGCACTTTGGGAGGCCAAGACGGGCGGATCACCTGAGGTCAGGAGTTTGAGACCAACCTTGCCAACATGGAGAAACCGCTTCTCCACTAAAAATACAAAAATTAGCCTGGTGAGGTGGCGGGTGCCTGTAATCCCAGCTACCCAGGAGGCTGAGGCAGGAGAATCACAGGAACCCAGAGGCATAGGATTTAGTGAGCTGAGATCTTGCCACTGCACTCCAGTCTGGGTGACAGAGCAAGACTCTGTCTCAAAAACAAACAAACAAACAAATAAACATAAAGGCCCCATTTCTATTATCAATGCCCAACCACAAAAAACAAGCCTTTATTTGTGCCCCTAAGGTTCTTGTGCAAATGTTTCCTCTCATTGAAATGTGACTTCTGGATTTTTCTTTGTCAGCCACATTGGCTGCAGTGTTGCTTGGAGTCTGAATCTAACCAAGTTGCCTTGAGACCCTATGTGGTCTTTTCCAATTGCCTCCAGTCTGGGAGTTCCTTCCATGTCCTCATCTAAATAAACCAGGCTTGGCTTTTTCCAATCTCAGGACTAACCTGTGACAAAATGCGTTCCTTCCTGTGTGATATCCATGCCATTTATGGACCCGGACAGGGAGCCTTCCAATTCTCTGATTACTGACCCATCAAATACTTCCCAGTAAGCAATCTGGAATTCAGGAAAGAAGCATTAGGCAGGATTCAGCTCAGGAGAATCATCCATGCACATGCTAACAAAAGCTGGTTCTACTTTATATAGAAGGTAGCAAAAATATACCACGGGATGATACTGGCTGAAATTATAAATAGGCTACAGCAGGGGGTGGCAAAACCATTTTAATATTTTTAGTATTGGTTTTAAATTTGCATTCTATTTAAGGGATGTTGATGTGCTGATAAACCTGGATTATGACAGAAAGGGCTTTTGATAAGACTAAGCAGATTGAGCCTGAAGCAAGCTGTAAAAGAACGAACAGCCTCTGCATCCACAGCTAAGCTTCAGGCCTGGAGTGGGGAAAAGCATTTTCTTCCTTCCCACTAGGAAATGAACACTCCCTGCTCCCCAGAGTTCTAGCGACTGGGCCTTACAGGCACCCTCCTGCTGTGACTGCATCCTCCCTCTTCCTCACCCCACCCTTATTCCCAACTTTCCCTTTCGCCCCAAAGCACTGGAATACTCCACAGGGAGGAGTTTAAAAGGAACTGGCAACCTCGGTCCTGGGGAGCAGAGCTACCTTAGGGTGGAGAGGCAGGTGACTAAGGAAGGAGATTTTTTTCCTGAATATATTGCCTTTGTACCTTGAACTTTGTGAATGCACAATCTATTCAAAATTTAAATTTCCAAGGAAAGAATGCTTCTATTTACAATAGAAAAGGCATGGAATCAACCCAAATGCCCATCAATGCTAGGCTGTGTAAAGAAAATGTGCAGTGAAGAAAATGAGCAGTGGCTCACACCTATAATCCCAGCATTTTGGAAAGCTGAGTTGGGCTGATTGCTTGAGGTCAGGAATTTGAGACCAGCCTGGGCAATATGGTGAAACCCCATCAGTACTAAAAATGCAAACAGTAGCTGGATGTGGTGGAACACACCTGTAGTCCCAGCTACTTGGGGGCCTGAGGCATGAGAATCACTTGCAGCCAGGAGATGGAGGTTCTAGGAGGTTGCAGTGAGCCAAGATTGTGCCACTGAACTCCAGCCTGGGCAACAAAGTGAGACTCTGTCTCCAAAAAAAAGAATAAGCTCAAGAAAATGTGGTACATATATACCATGGAATACTATGCAGCCATAAAATGGAGCAAGATCATGACCTCTGCAGACATGGGTGGAGCTGGAAGCCATTATCCTCAGAAAACTAACACAGCAACAGAAAACCAAACACCACATGTTCTCACTTACAAGTGGAAGCTGAACAATGAAAACACATGGACACATGGGGAAACGACACACTCTGGGCACCTGTAGGAGGGTGATGGGTGGGGGGAGGAAGAGCATCAGGAAGGATAGCTAATGGACGCTGGGCTTAATACCTAGGTGATGGGATGACCTGTGCAGCAAAGCACCATGGCACAAGTTTACCTATGTAACAAACCTGCACATCTTGCACATCCCCTGAACTTAAAGATAAAAAGCCAGGCATGGTGACTCACTCCTGTAATCCCAGCACTTTGGGAGGCTGAGGTAGGTGGATCACAAGGTCAAGAGATCAAGACCATCCTGGCCAACATAGTGAAACCCTGTCTCTACTAAAATACAAAAATTAGCTGGGTGTGGTGGTGCACACTTGTAGTCCTAGCTACTCAGGAGGCCGAGGCAGGAGAATTGCTTGAAGCTGGGAGGCAGAGGTTTAATTGAGCCGAGATCACGCCACTGCACTCCAGCCTGGTACCTGGTGAAAGAGTGAGACTCTGTCTCTAAATAAATAAATAAATAAAATCCAGGGCACGGTGGCTCACAGATATAGTCCCAGCCCTTTGGGAGGCTGAAGCGGGTGGATCACAAGGTCAGGAGTTCAAGACCAGCCTGGCCAAGATCGTGAAACCCCATCTCTACTAAAAATACAAAAATTAGTTGGGCATGGTGGCGGGCACCTGTAATCCCAGCTACTCGGGAGGCTGAGGCAGAGAATTGCTTGAACCCAGGAGGTGGAGGTTGCAGCCAGCCAAGATCACACCACTGCACTCCAGCCTGGGCCACAGAGTGAGACTCTGTCTTAAAAAAAAAAAAAAGATGAAGAAAAAAACACACAAACAAAAAGAGTGCTTGACCAGACCAGGAATCAGGAGTGCAAACTTGGCATGCATTTCATTCATTTCTCTTTGTTTCTTGTTGGAAGCTTGCTGTGTTCTAATCACTATCCTGAGAATCTATATTCCTCTGAATCTAGCTAGACATTGTGCATACTATTTAGTTTTTTTCTTTTGCTTTGTAATGTTGGTTGATGCTTGATCATGTTAACAAAAAAATTCTGATTTCCTAGTGAACGCCTAAAGAGATATAAAACCATGCCAGAACCCATGTTTCTCAGGAACGACACCCACAGAAGTAGTTAGAACTTCACTGCCTGCCTTCCCAGGCAAAGAAGCCAAACTGACACTCTCCTGGGCAGCCCTAGTAGGGCTCCATCTTACCCGAGTGTCCTCTGCCAGGGATGCCCTTCCTTGAGGTCTAGGCCTTGGCTGGGTCCTTCTGTCCTTCAGGCCTCAACTCAGATGCTACTCCTTAAGGAGATCTTCACCCACTACACTAGTTGAAGGAGCTTCTCCCCGCCTGCCGGCATCATATCACCTATTCTATCTCCTGTCTCAGTCTCTCACCATCTCATGTCTTGTTCACTTATTACTCGTCCATTCACGGATTGGCTCATGTATGTATTAGCCAATTCCATCCCCTCCTACGCAAAATAAATTAGGAAAGTAGGGTTCATGAGAGCAGGGACCCTTTAAGCTGGGAAATCTATACCATGTGTAGTTTTTGTTGTGTTGTTGTTTTTGTTTGTTTGTTTAGACAGGGTCTCACTCTGTCACCCGGGCTGGAGTGCAGTGGCGCAATCTCGGCTCCCTGCAACCTTCGCTTCTCAGGTTCAAATGATTCTCATGCCTCAGCCTCCCAAGTAGCTGTGATTAAAGGCACCCACCACTGCCCGACTAATTTTTGTATTTTTAGTAGAGATGGGAGTTTCACCATGTTGGCTAACCTGGTCTTGAACTCCTGGCCTCAGCCTCACGAAGTGCTGGAATTACAGGCATGAGCCACTGTGTTCAGCTCCGTGTGTAGATTTTTAATGTATTGATGAAGAACAGTGATGAGCGATGAGGAGCTCTATTGCCTTTCTGTTTGAATTTAGTCAAAGTGATAACAGGTTTGGCCACAGCAATTCTACTCCAGCCTCAGAAATTCCCTAATAATAAAAACCAATCTACAGAGTACCTACTATGTGCCAGGCTTCCTGCTATAAGCCCCATAGGCGAGCATGACTTTAATCCTCACTCTATGAGGTCTGTGGTACCATTTCCACTTAACAGACAGGGAATTGAAGACACTGGGAGGTGATATGGCCTTTCCAAGTTGACATGGCTGATTGATGACAGACCGCCATTTGAACTAAGGTGATTGACTGCAGAGCCTGCCCCCTCCGTCACAACGCCTCCCTGCTTATCTCTTGCACTGGAAAGATCTCAGCTCTTGCTGGGAGGACTCACCTTTCTGTCTGTCCCGCTGGTGATGATCTGGAACTCCTCAGGGTGATAGCACACACACTGGAATAAGGTGTTGGCTAGGATCATCTGATTCCTCCTAAGCCGCCTGGGAAGTGGATGCAAAAGCTGTGAAAGTCAACTTTCTCTTCCCTAAAACATTTATTTACTATTCAAGCTGGATTTGGTACAAGCTGGGATTTGGGTTGGTTTATCTCTATGCCAAACATTTCATACTGCTCAACACAGTGACGTTTGTATTTCTTCAAAACAGACTTCGGGTTGCCCTGTGCTCTCTACTTCTCTGTACTCCCATTGGCCTATCAGCGACCACCAGAGGACAATGGGAAAGGCCCTTTGCTAAAGACAGGGCACAAAACTCAATGAGACCCCTTAAGTTGCAGCGAAAAAGAAACAGAAGAGGCTGAACTCAGAGCCAACCTGCTGCCTCCCACACAATGTAATTGATTCTTGAGGCCGCCATTTGGAAGTGGAGCTCCCTACAGTCTGAGCAGCAGAATGTGGGGAAGGGCATTTTATTTTATTTATGTTTTAACCATCAATGTATCTTTAATTCGCAAATAAAAGCTGTAGCAAAATGTCATCCACACATTTGTACACAGGTTCAGATGTGCCATATCATGCGCAACCCTCAGAAAACATGAGCCTGTCACGTGGGGATTTTGCAAAAGCTGGCAGGCTCAACCCTTGTCTGCATATGGTAAGAAGTGCCTCCCAAGGCCCCCCACCCTGTCCAGGGTGCCCCCAAGAGGGAGCTGGCCTCCCACAGCTGAAAAGAGCCCGCCCTCGGAAGGGTATTTTAAAAATTGGTACTGGCCGGGCGTGATGGTTTATGCCTGTAATCCCAGCACTTTGGGAGGCCGAGTCAGGTGGATCTTGAGGTCAGGAGTTTGAGACCAGCCTGATCAACATGGTGAAACCCTGTCTCTACTAAAAAAAAAAAATACAAAAAAATTAGCTTGGCGTGGTGGTGCATGCCTCTAATCCCAGCTACTCAGGAGGTTGAGGCAGGAGAATCGCTTGAACCCGGGATGCAGAGGTTGCAATGAGCCAAGATTGTGCCATTGTACTCCAGCCTGGGTGACAGAGCAAGACTCTGTTTCAAAGAGGGAATAAAATGGTATTAAGGGCTGGGTGCAGTGGCTCACACCTGTAATCCCAGCACTTTAAGAGGTCAAAGAGGGCAGATGACTTGAGGTCAGGAGTTTGAGACCAGCCTGACTAACATGGTGAAACCCCATATCTATGAAAAATACAAAAAGTTAGCTAGGCATGGGAACCTTGTAATCCCTGCTACTCTGGAGACTGACGCAGGAGAATCGCTTGAACCCGGGAGGCAGAGCCTGCAGTGAGCCAAGATCGTGCCACTGCACCACGCCGACCAACGCTGCATTTTAAGCCAGCATTTCAGTTGATTTTTATGTGCATAATAGAACCCCTGCCTTAGATACTGTACCAAGAAATATGTAAATATCGCTTCTCCTTCCATAGACAATGTGGTGGGTGGCCATCTCACAGGACAGGCTTTCCTGGCTAAAAAATGCACCTTCTGCACAGTTTCTTCTCATTATGGAAGTTTTCAAACGTGGTATCTGAGCTGAGCATTTTTAAAAGATTTTGGCACCAGAATTCCTGCTATACAACAGAACAGCTTTAAGGATTTGAGGCAGTCACAAACCATCCATAGAAATAAGTTCAGACATGTCCTTCTGGTTCTGTATTTTCCCAGTAGGAAGGTCAGTATAGGCTAACACTTTCTACAAGTGTGGTCCTTCAACCAGCACTCCCAGCTGGGAGCTTCTTAGAAATGCAGAATCTCAGGTACCATGCTACATTTATTGAATCAAAATCTACGTTTTTAACAAGATCCCCAAGAGACACGCAGGGCTAGAAGACAAAAGCTTGCTTTGTGTTTCATTGTTTTTTTGTTTCGTTTATTTGGTTTTGTTTTTGAGACAGAGTTTCACTCTGTCACCAGGCTGGAGTGCGGTGGCGTGATCTCGGCTCACTGCAACCTCCGCCTCCCGGGTTCAAGCAATTCTCTTGTCTCAGTCTCCCGAGTAGCCGGGATTACAGGCACGCACCATCACGCCCAGCTAATTTTTGTATTTTAGTAGAGATAGGGTTTCACCATGTTGGTCAGGCTGGTCTCAAACTCCTGACCTTGTAATCTGCCCACCTCGGCTTCCTAAAGTGCCAGGATTACAGGTGTGAACTACAGCGCCCTGCCCTGCTTTGTGTTTTTTAATGCATTAAGTACACAGTGAGTGCTCATTCCCATTAAGGGTTTCTCATATTCTTTTGTCATGCATGTCTCCTTCCTCCCATCTTTGCACTTATCCTCTTTTATGCAGCGATATTAAGGCAGTGCCTCGTAGGAGTGGTTGAGGGGTGATAGGTAGGTGGGGAGAGGGGTTGGAGGAGCAGGGTCTGATTCTAAAATAAAAACACAGCAAAAATGCTTATAGTCAAAAATCCAAAAAGCCACTTTTCAAAAATCCTTTGAGTTACTCCTACAATAAAGTTCACATGCTTTGGTCTAGCTGGTTTGACGTTAGTCATTCTATGGGGGAGTGATATGCTTAGAGCATAAGAGGTCCCTGGGAATGTGTCCAACCAAGGGGAAAGGCAAACTTAGGTCCCACCAGCATCCCTCCCCTCCTTGGAGAGATTATTCTGGGCTTCACCTGACTGAGCGGAATGATGAAAAGCACTGCCTGCATTAGTTCTTTTTCTTTTTTTTTCTTTCTCTCTTTCTTTCTTTCTCTCTCTGTCTTGATATCTCTCTCTCTCTGTCTTTTTTTTTTTTTGAGACAGAGTTTCAGTCTAGTTGCCCAGGCCAGAGTGCAATGTCATGATCTCAGTTCACTGCAACCTCTGCCTCCTGGGTTCGAGTGATTTTCCTGCCTCAACCTCCCGAGTAGCTGGGATTCCAGGAGCCCACCACCACACCCAACTAATTTTTGTATTTTTAGTAGAGAAGGGGTTTCACCACATTGGCCAGGCTGGCCTCGAACTCCTGACCTCAGGTGATCCGCCCACCTCGGCCTCCCAAAGTGCTGGGATTACAGGCGTGAGTCGCTGTGCCTGACCTCGTATTAGTTATTTTTCTTGCCCCCTTTCATTTCGGACATTTAGGGTTGAATTAGTGTAAGTTAAATCATGCTTTGCTGTGTGGACCCAGAAAGCTATTTCCCTATCTGCCCAGAAACTTCTAACATTCAGTTCTCCCTGGAAAATGTACCTTTCTCACCAGCATTGATAAACCATGGACATTCATGAACAGCTTCTGATGAACATCTCTTTACCGTGTTGCATTAGGTAAGATTTCTACCTTCTATTTGAATCCTCTCTCATGTTCAATAAACTGTTGGCACGATTGGATTTTGCAAGTATCACAGTATCCTCCCCATCACAGGTACCTACACAAGGTCCCAAATGATACAAGTGCCATCAGTGCTAGCGGTGACACACTCCTCATTGTTCTTCTTCACCCTAATGCAGGACACTGAGGATTTGTGCTCCTTCAGGGCCTCCTCCAGCTTCTGGGTCTGACAGCCTATCTGCCATACCCTCACCTGAAAGCCACAGAGCACAGGATCTTGATATACATTCGGGACTTCTGAAGGGAAAAGAAAAGATTCCAAGAGCTGTTTCACCTTTGCTGTGCTTGGCTTGTGTTTTTTAATTCTCTGTCTTCATCTTGGTTGGGTGGGGTGGGAATGCTAAACTGAAGAGCAGGAATATTCATATATAAGATGTGATCATCCTCAACAGAGCTTGAAAAATGCTACTAACAATCCTGTACCTTCCTGTATGTACAGGCTGAGAAATTTAATCAGACACCTGCTACGAAAATCAATAATGCCAGGCCCAATGCTAAACCAAATGAAATAATGTCTATTCACTTTTGCTGATCATTGCTCTCAAATTTCTGGTACCATCAGGAAATTTTGTGGGTACCCAGAGCCATACTGAAACTTTTACAATCAGCTGTTCGATTTTAATCATTTAAGAACAAATGGTTCCTAGCTCTACTGAATCCAATACCTATTTTATATCACAAATATTTTTAAATGCCTGTTTATTATCCTGGAGTGAAATTCATAGGTAATACAACTACCTACACACAAAATTTAAAAACATCAATATCATGCTTTAATAAAAAGGATAGATAAAAGGAAAGTTGTTTAGTTAGTATAGTATTTCTTTATTTTTTTTTATTTTTTGAGACGGAGTCTTGCTCTGTCACCCAGGCTGGGGTGCAATGGCGTGATCTCAGCTCACCGCAACCTCAGCCTCACTGTGCCCAGCCTGACTTTTGCATTTTTAGTAAAGATAGGGTTTTACCATGTTGGCCAGGCTGGTCTCAAAACTCCTGACCTCAGGTGATCCACCCTCCTCAACCTCCCAAAGTGCTGAGGTTACAGGCATGAGCCACGTACCCGGCCAGTATTCTTTTAATGGACAAAGGATCTGTCACAACTGCCCCAGAAAACATAGCAGTCAGGTGCTTATGCCTTCTTATAATGACTGTTGGATTTATGAAAAATAAGGTGAGCAGACAGTATTCTGTGCAAGTTGTACAAGACAACAGAATAACAATGATTGGAGCGAACATTAGGTTAAAAACTAGTGTTATCATGCACACATATGTTCACTGTGGTGCTATTTACAGTAACAAAGACATGGAATCAACCCAAATGTCCATCAATGATAGACTGGACAAAGAAAATGTGGCACATATACACTATGGAATATTATGCACCCGTAAAAATGGATGAGTTCATGTCCTTTGCAGGGACATGGACGAGGCTGGAAACCATCATTCTCAGCAAACTGACACAAGAACAGAAAACCAAACGCCACATGTTTTCACTCATAGGTGGGTGATGAACAAAGAGAACACTTGGGCACAGGGAAGAGAACAACGCTCACTGGGCTAGGTGCCGGGGGTGGGGGGTGAAGGGGTGGGAAGGGACAGCCGGGGGTGGGTGGGGAGGATGGGGAGGGATAACACCTGGAGAAATGCCTGATGTAGGTGACGGGGGTGGGGGGATGGCAACAGCAAACCACCATGGCATGTACGTACTTATGCAACAATCCTGCAGGATGCAGGACGTGCACATGTACCCCAGAGCCCAAAATACAAATTAAAAAAAAAAAAAAAAAAAAAAAAAAAAACTAGTGTCAGGACACGTAATAACAGACCTGCCTTATTTGTACCTGATATGAGGAAAATAACATTCTAAGACATTGTCTAAATTGTGGAAGGAGAAGTGAAGCAAAGAAAATGAGAAAGCACAACTTTATCCCAAATGAGTGGGACTGTGTTCATTTCTATGGTGTCAAAATAATTCCCCCTGTGGTGACATGGGGTAGGTTAATGACCAGTGTCAAAGAAAAAGAATCCTCCTTGAAATTTGATGACAGGTGGATGTGCACATTTCATCTTTAGGCAGGATAATGTTGAAAATATCTAACTAGTATGGTGTGGGTACCGGCCAAACAGGCCCAGGACTGGATCGAACATCTTGGAAAGACTCTGGATGGATATGAACCCTGCAGTTGTGGAATTGTAGGGA